AAAATCTTTTAATTCACTTAGTTTCTAGGTCTAAAATTGTCAAGGAATGTCTATAATGTATTTTGAAGGACTTCTTTCCCAAATGTACACTTTTTATCTCCCCTTGATAATAACAATATTTCCCATTTCCCATGCATTTCCTATGTGCAAATGTAGTGCTAAATGCTTTACAAATCCTGTATGGCACAGAGTATTTCCCAAAACTGAGCTGGTGGAAGGGGGAGGCGAGTTGTCATTATTTCTCCCATTCTGTAGATGAGGCAAGTCAAGTCTAGAGAAGTTAATTAACTTGCAACTAGTAAGGGCCGGTAAGAGCTATGGCTGGTTTTAGCTGGATTCTAGTCCAGGTCTGTTTGACTCCAAATAACTTTTTCCTAAAGGCTACTTTACTTCCTCTCTCAGAGCCCTGATTGGCTCATCAACTCTGCTCGCTGAGCCAGGCCTACTCCTCAGCCTTCTAGAGGCCCGTGGTGACAAGGGTGGCACAGTTCACCAGCCAGCTGGCCTCTGCCATCACCTGTGAGGCTCACAATCCAATCCCTCTGAATGGTGATGGTCAGTGCAGTGCTGGCCAGGTTCCCCAAGGCCACCAGGGTGATCACAGCTGCATAGCAGGCCACCTACAGAAGGAAGGTAAAGGGAGTTTGGAACCCAAGAATAGACTTTCTCAGCCCACTGTGGTACATACAGTTATTTAGCTGACAGCGCAAGGAACATCTAAATGAACACAAAGACCTTCAAGAGAAAGAGGTTTAATGTAGGTTTGGAGTCAACCACTATTGTGTTGATTCTAAGCATTTTCTTCTTCCCACCCCAATTAGCACCAGATCCGACGCTAATTTGTACCTTGCAGATAGAGATAGAGACCCTGCTGTTCTACTGCCTTCATGTCTGTGCTATTTAGGCTCTGATTCACAAATTAGGGGGGAGAACAACACTGGCAAAAGATTAGCCAGATCCGAAACCAGTGAGCAGGGCGGTACAGAGATGATTCACCCAAGGGCATTCAGGTCTTGTCCTGACATTCACTCTGATGGCACAAGAGGGAGGTAGGAGACACTCACAGTGAACCAGCCATGCCAGACTTGTTCCATCTCCCTTTTGCAGGAGAACACAGCGTCAGGACAACACAGCAGGCGGAGACAGGGGCATTCTGAGTGAAGAGTGAGGCATGAGCAACTGTGAATGGAAACAATATTTATTCTTGGTTTTAAGAGACAGGTTGCAGCTACAGCATCGTTTGCTGCAGAGTAACTGCATTTGGCCAAATTCCTGTTTGTTTCCATCAGCAATTGCAGGCTTGAGCAGGAAGCAAAGAGCAGGCTCATGTGCTCACCAGAGGCAAAGTCAAAAAAAAAAAAAAATCTGGGCTTTGCAAGTAAATGAACCCATACTTTGAGAGAAAGATAATGTGAAAAGCAGAGTATTAGATACATCAAAGAACTTAAAATTTTCTACTGCTATATCACACTCTTCTGAATTTCATTTGTGAATGAAGTTATCAATATGGCCTCAAGACCAAAATTCCAGAGTTTAAGTAAGTTAGCCTTTCTAAGGGTGTGGCTTTAGAGAATGCCTTTCTAGGATTTCTAGGTGGAATGAAAACAATCATACTGACCAGTAATCAAAAGAATAGGAAAAACTTATAAAATCCTATAGTCTTATTGAGTAAAGGAAGGTTCAAGCGATATTAGAGCCAAAAGCTAAAAGAAGATCTACATTTGAACAAGTCAGTCTCCAGATAGTCATTCCTAGTTTAGACAGATTACTTGGTACAAAGATATATTTGACACCTAGAATTGCCTGTAATAAAAATAACACAAGTATATACTATATGGGTAATGCCAGAATTTTTTTTTTTAAATCATGTTTTCAGGAATGGGCAAGAATCTAAAAACTACATTAAAATATTTTAAATGTAGTACAAGAGAATGATACAAAACTGTATAATTCTTTTTCTAGTTTTTAAAAGTTATGCTCTATTGTTCTGTATTTTATTTCACTAAATAAACCAAAGGAGCTAGTGAGATCATAATTTACCACATAATTATATATGTCACAGATAAGAGTATTACCTTTATTTCCTGGTTTCTTGTCAATCCAATCACCAATTAAGACCCCAAATATTAATACAAATCCAGCCACCACCAAACCAAACACTGTTGCTAGAAGAAGATTGTGTCCATATAATTCTATCAGGAACGCAGATACGGCAATGTGCCACATTCGGTCTCCCTATGAGGGAGCAGAAACAAAGTGTATGTTAGTCATTGACCTAAAATATAAAACAAAAATCCAGAAAGATTCATTTCTCCCAAAAGACATGTAATATGCAGCATTTCAAACCAGAATGTCAAAAATTATATTTTTATGCAGTACAGCTATCGCATTTTTAATGCAATGTAATTACACTTTTTAAATTTGGACAGAATATATTTTAAAATCTTGAAAGCATCAAACAGCCAAGAATCCTGTGAGAAAATATCAGATGAATACTTGTGAGAACATAAGAACCCCAAGAGGTAAGCCCAAGTTACCCCAGGATATCCGCTGATTCAGAAGAAACAGTTATGAAACAGGACTGTGGTTTTGGTGGCTTCAGAAACTCAGAAGACAGAAGTCCATGCCTATCAAAAATGGGGACAGAGATAACATACTTTCCACTTTAAGCTGAGATCCATGTAAGGCCATCCTCAGGGTAAGTAAGGGTAAACTACAAGTAAACCCTGGTAAACCCTTGCCAAGACTTGTAGTCCAGCTTTGCCTCATCTAGATGGGTCAGAAAATCTCAAACCTCGAACCTGTATTAAGCTGGTCCCAGTGGCTAGTGTCCACTATGCATCTGGTAGAAGCCAATTAAAATCCTCTCTAAAGGAAGTATTATCATCTTAGGTTTCAAAATATTCCTACAATAATTTTAAAATACGATGCCCAGAACACAAACAAAGATAACCAGTCATACAAAGAAATGAAGCACCATTGTACTTATCTACAATAAGTAATAGACAACAGAAATAGACTTGCTGAGATGTGAGATATTTAAATTATTAGCCACCGGCTGCAAAGTAATAATGCGTACTATTGGGTTGTTGGAAAAGTCATGACACATTTTTGCAACGAAAAAACATAGAAAAAAATACGTCATGACTTTTCCGACAACCCAATATATTTAAAGAAACAAATGCCAAGTCTGACAATGTAAGCAGGAAACTGGAAACTATAAAAAGTGACATAGGGCCAGCCGAGTGGCGCGATGGTTAAGAACTGGCTTGGGACGCCAGGGGCCCCGGTTCAGATCCCACATATGAGGGCCAGTGACACTGCCCTCCACAGCTAAGATGCTGAACAACAGCTCAACCTGGAGCTGGGCTGCTGTG